CCTCCTCCTCTCACCACCTCCTCCTCCTCCTCCTCCTCCTCCTCCCTCCTCCCTCCTCCCTCCTCCTCCTCCCTCCTCCCTCCTCCTCCTCCCTCCTCCTCCTCCCTCCTCCCTCCTCCCTCCTCCTCCTCCCGCCTCCTCCATCCCTCCTCCCTCCCTCCCTCCTCTCCTCCTCCTCCTTCCTCCCTCCTTCCTCCTACTCCTATGTCCTCCTCCTTCCTCCTCCTCCTCCTCCTCCTCCTTGTCTTCCTGCTCCTCCTTCCTCCTCCTCCCCTCCTCCTCTCCTCTCCCCTCCTCCTCCCCACGTCCTCCTCCTCCTCCTCCTCCTCCTTCTTCTTATCTTCTTCCCCTCCGCACTCCTTCCTCATCCTCCTCTATCCCCCATCTTCCCCCTCCTCTTCCGCCTCCTCCTCCTACGCCTCTCTTCCTCCTCCTCCTCCTCCTCCTCCTCCTCCTCCTCATCCATCTCCATCCCCCCTCCACCATCTCTCTCCTTCTCCCTCCTCCTCCTCCTCCTCCTCCTCTTCCTCCTCCTCCTCCCCTCCTCCTCCTCCTCCACCCTCCAACTCCTTCTCCTTCCCCACTCCTGCTCCCTCGTGGACGCCAACCCGCACGCAATCCCGAAACTGGGGGCGAAAAGGGCCGAGGCAGCAAGAGAAGGGGAGAGAGGCGGGTGCGCTGGCTTCCTAGCTGCACGAAGCGACTGCTGCTCCCTCCTCCTGCTCCTCCTGCTCCAGCTCCTCCTCCTCCTCCTCCTCCAGCTCCTCCTCCAGCTCCTCCTCCTCCTCCTCCTCCTCCTCCTCCTCTTCCTCCTCCCCCTCCTCCTCCTCCTCCTCCATCGTCATCCCCCCCTCCACCATCTGCCTTCTCTTCCTCCTCCTCCTCCTCCTCCTCCTCCTCCTCCTCCTCCTCCTCCATCACCCCCCCTCCTCCCCCTCCGCTCTCCGCTGCTTGCTTCGCGGCGGCGGGTGGCTCCGCGCTCGTGACGGCGCCGTTGGCGGAGAAGCCGCCCTCCTGTCCAGCGGGGGGGGAAGCGCCGCCATCGCCGCCGCCGCTCGACTTCGCCGTCGCAGTCGCTGACGTCGCCGCCGTCGCCGTGCGCAGACGCCCAGAGACTCGACAGTGCAGAGCTTGACACTTCACGTGCCTTCGGCCTGTTGGAACTGAGCCTGGGCCCCGGGCGGACTAGGAAAACGACTCGGGATCAACAGCCGGCCCCGGGGAAGAGGTCGAGGGGTCTGGGGCCCCAGGGCTCCGAATGCATGAGGTCGTCGGAGGGGCGGGTCGCCGCCGCCCGTCGCTGCTGCCGGGGACGAGGGGGAGGAGGCGGGGTACGGGGAGGGGGGCCGCGGGCAGGAGGGGGGGTGGGGCAGCAGGCAGGAAGGAGGGGCAGGAAGACGGTCGAGGGGAGGGAGGGCGCCGTGGAGGAGGGGCAAGGTGGAGAACTGGCCAGGACGAGTGGGACGCAGAGGAGGAAAAGGGGGCATGCCCCCCGGTCCATCGCAAGCTTGCGAAGCGGAATACGATGCTGGAGTGGGTTCTGCGAGGGCGCCCTGGGCCTTGGCGGCGCCCACATCCCCCCCGCCCTCGACTCTCTATTGGCATGGGCGTCCCTCGTTCGGTGCAGCGGAACGTTCGCGAATTATCTGAGCTTCGTGCGCACCGTGCGCATGCTGTGCCGCGCGGACACGGCCGTGTTCAAGGCGCCCGAACTAGTGCGAGCTCGTACTGCTATCAGGCGGTTGCGGGGCGTGCAGGGCGGTCGCGCGGTCTGTCGGCGCGCGCAGGAAGCGACGGCTGTTTGTCCCACGCAAGAAGATGCATATCAGGCACGGCATGGTCGCGCGCGGGTTGAAACTAGCTTTGCGCGGCGCCGAACTGAGAGAGACGCAAGTAATGTGCCTACTGGCGTATAGTTTCTTGCTGCGCGTCCCATCGGAGGCAATCCCATGCGCGCGGGGCGCCACCGAGCCCGTGGGCGGAATGCAGTCCTGCCTGTACGTCGCCGGGGACGAAAAGCGGCTGCGTTTGGCCAGCAGAAAGAATGTGCCGTCGGGCACCGAGCTGGTCCGCGGTCGCTGGTGCGCAAAGCATCCAGAAACTTGCCCTGTGTACGTGCTCGGCAAGATTGCAGCGACGCGTGCCCGGGGGCAGAAATTATTCCCAAGCCTAACGCCTGGCAGGGCGCTGCGGTTCCTGAGGAGGATACTGGCCATGTTGTCTGTCTCCGAGGCACAGCTGTATCGGTCTCATGACCTGCGCCGCGGCCACGCGCAGGCTCGGGCCCCGCGCCCGTTCGCGCGCTGCGACCGAGGGGGCGCACGGGACATGCTCGAAGGTGGCAGTCGCTTGGGGGCGATTCTGAAGGCTGAGCAGTGGCGTTCGCCTGCGCTCCTGCAATACATCAGTACTCAGGACCTCGAATCAGGCGCCGTGCTGGAGGCGCGATGCGTTCCGCATTTAGGCGGTCCGTAATGCGCTCGTCGCTCGCAGGCGCATTTGGACGAGTCTTCCAGCGGCGACTCCTCATCCGATTCATAAGTCCTGGCGGAGCATCGAACCGCAGCGCACTGGGGCATCCTCCGCATGGGAGGTCAACGTAACGTGGCTTCGTGCCTTGCCTCGCCCCTGCAGGCGCATGCAGCGGGGGGGGGCGCCTCTGGGGCAGGCGCCGCCCGAGCCACCAAGGCCACGATCTGGCGTCGTAATCTTCGCGCCCCTGGCGTCTCGGGCGTCGCTGCGACGCGCGTCGGGGCGACGCTCGGGGCGCCGCACCCCAAGACTGGGGAGCGGCGTTCCCCTGGGCCGCGGAGCGGGCCTCGGTACCCCTCTGCCCTCCCACGGCGCGTGGGGCTGGCTTTTGTGGGCGGCCATCGCTGCCCCTCCCCATGCGTCGCCCCCCTTCATTACGCGGCGCCCAGCTATCCAGCTCGATACAGGGACTCGGCGAGGAGGGGGAGGGAAGGAGGTGGGCCGAAGCCGACCCCAAGGCCCTTTTGTAGTTGCCGGCGGCGTGGGGCCTCTGCTCTCGACGCCCAGGGCCAGAGGCTGAGAACATAGCATGGGCCGCGACGGAGAAAACGCCCCACAGCAGCCTCGTAGCCACTCCGGGGCGGAATCCGCTGCGAAAATCGGCGGCGAGCGAGGGGGGGAAGTGGGCAGGGATGGGAGGAGGGAGGAGGGAAGGAGGACGCGGGGCGCTGACTCTTCAAAACGAGAACCCAATCACAGGATGCCGGGGACAAGTCGCGACGTCGGGGGTGTGGGCTCGAGGGAAGGAGCACGAGAGCACGTCTCCAACGGGCGCCCAGCGATAACCTCGAACGGTCTTTAACAAACCCCCTTTTCATAAGTCGATGGCTAGCGAGAGGGGGAAGTGAGAAAGGGTGGGCCTGCTCAGAAGGCTCGGACGTCCCCCAACCTTCTGAAACATGTTCTGAGCTTTCCCCGAAGACAAGACAACTTCTCGGAAGGCGCGAGGGCTTCTGAGAAGCCCCGCCGCCTTCTGAGAAGGTCTGCTCCTTCTCACTTCCCCCCCTCGCTCGCCGCCGAGAATAGCTTCAGCAGGGCAGCTCGTAGCCAAGGAAGAGACTGAGCCCACCGCACGCCTGGGCCCCTATTAGTGCGCAGGGGGGCCTCCCTGGCCCCCAAGAGGGCCCCCAAAGGGCCCCGAGCAAACCCCAACGGCCTCCAAAGCGACGCCAACAGAGCCCAACTAAGCTGCCCAAGAGCTCTGGCATCGACATGTCCACGAATGCATTCCGGTGACTCCTGGGCCTGTTCATGCTGGCCCCGATCTTCGGTTTGACAACTGCCTCACCTCGTTGTCACACTCTTTGCTACTACACTGCCGTGGTCCAAACATCTCGCTTACGCATCTTTTCTGGATAGGCTGGTGGGGATACGCTCAGCGTCATTGATTCAATGTTTACACATGGTAGTTTATACGGCTTATTTCTACACCACCTAATCTTGTCAGGAATTCACCGAGCGCACACTTGCCAAAACCCTTCTACATCGTGCAACTTTTCGCTGTGCTTGATTCGCTCCACATTGCTCCAGCTGCTGTCGGCATCTGCTCTGACCATGCCCTGGAAAGGCTCGTCCAGTCGGTGGGTTTGGAAATGGCCGTTGCAGAGGGTGACCGCTTGCTGAATCCAGTCACGGCTTCTGGTATGACGGAGTCTTAAGATGCGACGGGATTTAAACGAGAGCATACAAGTATATTTGGGCGGGTGAGTATGGTCGCGTTCCGCATGGAGTAGACTCTACTTACGTATGCTGTGCCAGTACCTGTGCTCTAGACTCTACTCTTTTCTACGTTACGCACATATGTCTAGCTCGGCCTGCACCACGATACCTTGCTCCACACCACCCTACTCTACACTGCCATGCCCTGCTCTACTCTCTTGCACTCCTCTACTATAATCGACTCTGAACCACTCTGATCAGCTGATATGTTGGGGCACGTTTGACTCGTGTGGTCCCTTAATTTGACCCCATTAGATCCCAACATCGTGCAATCTCAAAACTGTGGCCGCTGGTTTGTTGGACCAACCCGATTGGTTGGAGTAACACCTTCTAGCAGGCCCATGTGGATAACACATGAAGTACGCGCATGTGATCACAGTATCGCTCTGAGCTCAAATAGGTGGTATAGCATGCTACCGCTTTCATGGCGGCCTGATCTTCCTGCTTGGGAGTGGCTTCCCCCCTACCCCATACACATTCCCAAACGATCCTGACTGGGAACACGTCGCTGGTAGTTGGAGCATGCGCGATAGTAGAGGGACGGCTCTGGATAAGCTGGTGTAGCCTCCGAGATGGTGCAGTACTGTCGACGGTGGCCTGGATGGCCTCCTGCGTGGCTTCAACACCTCTGGGTGTGTCAAGTTCGCTTTGGTTTCGCTTTGGCTGGCTCGCTCGAGGAGGAGGGCCCAGTGAAAGGGGGGAGCGGCGACGGGCCCAGGGAAAAGGCTGTCAACTGCGACGGCGACGGCGACGACGACATGGACGACATGGACGACATGGACGATGACGACGACGACGACGACGACGACGACGACGACGACATGGACGACATGGACGACGACGATATTTTCCGCGAGCACCCCGAGCTGGATCTGAGGTGGCCCCTGGTGGTCCTTTGGAGGGCCTCAGGGGGGGCCACAAATGTCCCGACAGACTTATGGCCGGAAACTCTGACCCTCGTGAGGAGCAGGAGGAGGAGGACGAGGAGGAGGAGGAGGAGGAGGAGGAGGAGGAGGAGGAGGAGGAGGGAGGAGGAGAGGAGAAGGAGGAGGAGGAGGGGAGGAGGAGGAGGAGGAGAAGGAGGAGGAGGCGGAGGAGGAGGAGGAGGAGGAGGAGGAGGGCGGCGGCCCTGGCGACGCGCTACGCCCTGCGAGCTGATAGCGTGTCGCTCCGCTCCGCGGGGTGGGAGGCCGAGGAAGGCTCGGGACGTTGACGCTTGCGGACTGGGAAGTGGTTAGCGTGTCGCGCCGAAGCGTGGTGAGCTAGAACCAGCTGAGCGACACGCTAAGCAAACGTGCCTGACGGTATCGTCAAAATTCCATGACCGAGAAGGAGAAGGAGGAAGAGGAGGAGGAGGAGGATCAGAAGGAGGATTGAGTGAGGATCGAGGATCAGGGACCTCGAGGCGGAGGAGGAGGAGGAGGAGGAGTAGGAGTAGGAGGAGGAGGAGGAGGAGGAGGAGAAAAAGGAGGGGCGGCGCACGGCGCAAGGTGCGGAGCGCGGGACCATCCTCGCGAAGCTTCATGTACTTGTTCATGTCCCTGTCCCGCCCGTGGTTTGCATCAGGGAGGTGGGGGAGGAACAATGACGGCGCAGAGGGATCTTCCAGGCATCTTCCTCGGACGCCAACTGAGGATACGCAGCAGGGACCTCATGGTATCTGCAGTATCTGCAGCCCCTTGCCGAGAAGAACATGGGTATGCAGCTGGCCCGCAGGGTCTTTGGCTCTCCTCGGCCCCACTGGTTCGCGGGGCGGCTGGGGCCTGTATCGCACGTCTAGGGTCAGGTCGGGCGTGTCCTGCTACAAATGGATTTTGGACGAACAAGAGAAGTAGCGAAACAATAATCAAACATTGCGATACAACAAGAATAATCGAAACATCGTCCCCCTATTATTTTTGACTATTTTTGAATATTCAACCTGTAGAGGGACAGGTCCGACTTAAGTCGAGTGGCGGAAAAAGAGGAGATGACCCAGATCCCCGACGTCATGACCTTTTCATAACGTCCACCCCCTGGGGTCCCGACCTACAGTCGTCGGCCTGACCCAAGGAACGATAAATAAGGAACGAAGTCCTTCTTTTCTAAAGAATAAAAGGAACGACAAATAATACATAACGCGTGAGGAACAGACAAGCCGAAAGGACGACCGAACCCCTTTTGCAAAAAACGTTCCTTATTCAAGCCGCACGCTGTATTCCCCTGGGCCGGCTTTTTATCCTGAGTTGTTTTTGGACAATGCCGAGGCCTGGTAAGGGCTCCCAGGAGTTCAGAATGACGATAAACCTGTCGCCGTGGTTCTTTCACAACTCGAAGGGGTCTGGGGAAAAGGAGGAGGATGAGAAGGAGGAGAAGGAAAGGGGGGGCCAACAGAAGATGCGTCCGAATCGCCCGAACCCATACTAGATCAAACAGAACTTGAAGGGCCCCTTTCGACCAAAAACAGCCAGGACCAGACCCTCACCCGCTATCTGGGCAGCTCCTCTCTACGCCAGGCGGGTCTTCCTCTGAAGTCCCTGAGGGGCACCTCCCAAGAGGCCTCTCAGAAGCCCCTCAAGTGCACCCCCCAAGAAGCCGTTCAGAAGCCCCTCAGGGGCACCCTCCAGGAGGCCTCTCAGAAGCCCTTCGAAAGACACTTCCCAAGGGGCTTCTCAGAAGCCCCTCCGGGGCACCTCCCAAGAGGCCTCGCAGGAGCCCCCCAGGGGAACCTTCCAAGAGGCCTCTCAGAAACCCCTCAGAGGACCCTCCCGAAGCACTTCTTCAGATTACTTCCCAAGAAGACTTCAGCACACTGTTTAAGAAGTACTTCGTATTAAATTACTAATTGGTACATCAGACGCATCTGAGTACTTCTGAAGAAATGCTGGTTGAGACGTCTTCTGGAGACTTTTGAAGAAGTCCTACTCACGACGTCTTCTGAGACTTCTAAGAGATCTTAATCATAGCTTAAGGACAACAACGAATATCAGCTGGGATTGGCTCTAAACGGGCCAGGCTTGGGACTAGTCAGCCGGGATGGGTCCCAATATCGGTCTCGGGGAGTTCAGGTTCGCCAAGAAATCGGATGGTTCCCCGGGTGAAAAGGGGCCAACGCCGAATCGGTTGGTTCTCCAGGTGAGACCCTTATAGGTCTTCTACGGGGATGGTTGCCAGATTCCTCCTCCTTTTCCTCCTCTTCCTTATTCTGTGAGCCTCATGCGCGCTTGAACCTCGGAGACACAATACACACAAATTTAACCCTTAGAGACCCAATGCTGACACGCATGTCAGCCGTAAAGAACCATGATATTCTTCAGGGTTGTTGCAAGACTCTGGCGTTCTCGTCTTTCCCGCTTCCCGTCGCCCCAAGATGGCCCAAGATGCCACCAAGGTCGGCCAAACAGCCCCCAAGAGGTTCCTAAGACTGCCACTAAACGACCCAAGAGGGCCCCAAGACGGCCCTAGAGGCCTGCCCAACAGGCCCCCAGAACGGCTTCAGGAGGGTGTCCACACGGGAGCCCGGACGTACATTTCGAGCCCTCGGATCCGAGACGCGCCTAAGAGGCCCAAGAGGCCCCATCAAGCCCCAAAGAGGCCCCCGAGAGGCCCCCGAGAGGCCCCCAGGAAGCCCAAAGAGATCCCCAAGAGGCTCCCAAGAAGCCCTCAAGATGGTCCCAGAGGCCCCCAAACCCCCAGAGGCCTACGAGCGTGCTCCGAAGATGCTCCACGAAGCATCACTGAGGCCTCCTCCCCACGCCAGCGTCGTCGTCGCCGCAAACGCCGCCGTCGTGGTCGTCGTGCCCCTTCAGACTCGGCGGCGCCAGCTGCAAGGCCCTTCCCCCATAAAGATCATGCAGCGAGCGCAATGCCATGCAATTATACGCATGTGTTGGTTAAACAACTCGTTGCTAAATAAGAAAGCATGACTATTTTCTTAAAGCAAATACGTCGACCGGACTGATTTTGACCTGAAGCTCCGGGGCTGCCCACACAGAGCAGGCAAATGTTGATTAGAAGGTTTGCCCTATCCCCCGCACCCTCCATGGGTTCGGGACCAGGGTTTCGCGAGGTATCTGGGGGTTCTTTTGGGCCAAAGATTGCTCCAACATGGCCTGGGATAGCGCCATCGTGCATCCGAAATGGCGCAATATAGCCCAATTTAAATTCAAACCCCACAAAACTGTCGGACCGCCATGGAACGACTGCAAATGGGCACCAGAACTCCAAAGGGCGCCCCCAAGAGTCCCAAATCCTTCAACACGCACTGTGGTTTTTAATGTTGGTTTGCGCTCTCGCCTTTTCGCCCCAAGATTCAGCTCAATGATGGCTCTCACCTGGCCCCAAAGATCCCCAAGGAGCGCCCATGGGGACGCCAAGACAACCCCAGGAGCGTTCTGAACGCCCCACTAACACCCCAATAAGGTCCTGTCAGGCAATGTTTAAAGCTCCAACGGGAGGAATGCAGCTGAGTCCTCTGTATTGTTTGATCGATGGCGCCCAGGATTGCCCCTAAAAAGGCCTCCATGATTCCTGAGAGTTGTGGATGCCATGACAATGGACACTCTCACGATGCTATCATTGAAAAAACACGTGCTTAAGATGCTTGAAACATGTTATAAGCATGGTTGGCACATGTATTGTCATGTCTACTGCATGATTTGAGCATATTTTAGACATCTGGAAACTATGTGGCAACACGCTTCCTCTTCATTGATCGTCGTCCACAACCTGAGAGGGCCCCGGGGGAGTCCCAAGGCGGCCTCAAAAACTATCGACTGGCTCCAATAGAGCCCGAAGATGGCTGCAAAAGGCTTCGGACAGGCCCCTGCAAGGAGAGATCCGCGAAGACCAGTATGGGTGATTCCCATCATCGTTGTCGTCGTACCCAGCGTCGTCGCCACTTTCCTCCCCGATACTCTCTCTCTTCCTCCTCCTCCTCCTCCTCCTCAGCCTCTTCTTTTTCCTCCTCTTCCCACCTCCTCCTCCTCCTCCTCCTCCTCCTCCTCCTCCTCCTCCTCCTCCTCCTCCCCCTCTTCCTCCCCCTCCTCCTCATTCTCCCCCTGCTCCTCCCCCTCCTCCTCCTTCTCCCCCTCCTCCTTCTCCTCCTCCTCCTCCCCTCCTCCTCCTCCTCTCCTCCTCCTCCTCCTCCTCCTCCTCTCCTCCTCCTCCTCCCCCTCCTCCCTCCTCCTCCTCCTCCTCCTCCTCCTCCTCCTCCTCCCTCCTCCTCCTCCTCCTCCTCCTCCTCCTCCTCCTCTCCTCCTCCTCCTCTCCTCCTCCTCCTCCTCCTCCTCCTCCTCCTCCTCCTCCCTCTCTCCTCCTCTCCTCCTCCTCCTCCTCTCCTCCTCCTCCTCCCCTCCTCCTCCTCCTCCTCCTCCTCCTCCCTCCTCCTCCTCCTCCTCCTCCTCCTCCTCCTCTCCTCCTCCTCCTCCTCCTCCTCCTCCTCCTCCTCCTCCTCTCCTCCTCCTCCTCCTCTTGGCGCCGCAGCGCAGCAACACGCTGCATCGCATCTCACTGGCCTGCCCCGCCAGCCGGCAAGGCCCGCCGTCGCGCCGCGCGCACTGCCCCGCAGAGCCACGGAAGGTTCTTGGAGGGTTGGGGCGTCGGGGGCGTACATTCGGGGCGTTGGCCTAAGGAACCCTAAATCAGGAACGAGGCCCCTTTTCTCCAGAAGTTGAACTTCGATTTCCCTTCGAAGACCTAAGGAAACCGTGGGGCAAACTGTGAAACAATTAAGGAACACGGAGCCCCTACCCAACGAAAAGAGTTCCTTCTTCAGGGCCCCGACTGTAAGGCAACGTTTTCTGATTCGGCGTTTCGACCTTGGGCGGAAGGGGGGGGGTCTGGCTCCGGACCTCTGCTCAGCACGACTGTTTGCGGTAGTGCGTCCAATGGGGGAGGCTCCACCTGCTCGAGGCAGGCGGCAACAACAGCAAGGATCTCCTCCATGGTGGGAGGGGAGGGGGGGGGGCGAGGGCCCGCGCCGATCCGAAAAATAATGAATGAGAAAACGATCACGATCCCCCCGTGGGCCGCCCCGCATGCAAGCTGGAACGATTATTTGAAGGCAGGAAATCAACCCCCATAATAATCACCCCGACACGCGAAGTCGTTTAGTGAACGCACCCAGGGAAGGAATCGAGCAGGGCAGAGTTCTTTAGTAAACAGCCTAGGGCGTTTTAGTAAAAGCCTTATTGTCGGGTCCGGGTGGAATTATACGACGCAAGTGCGCTCGCCAGGGAGCAACTTGGGAGGCGCGAGTGGTACAGGGTAGGGAATGGAGGCCGAATTCTTTCTGTTCTTGTGGAGGCTTGACTGGGCGCCTTGAGGAGTCCCTCTCCGCATTCCTTACATATCCCTTGCTTGATTAGTGGATCTTCGAATCCAATCGGAAGCAGTACACACGTGTATATACGTACGTATGCATGCATGCATGCATGCATGCATGCAGGTAGGTAAGTCGTTCGGTCGGTAGGTAGGTCGGTAGGTAGGTGTATAATGTATGTGTTTATGTATGTATGGATGCATGCATGTACGCATGCATCCATATATGCATGCATGCATGTATGCATGTATGCATATATGCATGTGTGCATGTGTGTTTATATATATGTGTGTATCTAGGCATGTATGTATGTATGCATGCATGCATGTGTGTATAGTGGCGGTGCACTGCGGCACCTGCGGGCGGGAAAACAACATTCAATGTGCCAGGCCGGTGTTCAGAATGATACGCAATAGACAGTTTCGCGGAGTGTGCAATCAAATCTCAGCACAGAAAAACATAACATAGAAAGTAATACGCCACTAGGCGCGTGGGCAAAAGCATGCGTCTAGCAATGCTCGACGCGGAATCGAGCACAATGCCAAAAGCAGCCGGATCAATCATAAGAGAAGGCAGAGGAGGAGGAGGCGGAGGAGGAGGAGGAGGCGGAGGAGGAGGAGGAGAACGAGAGAGGAGGAAACGAGGAGGAGAGGAGGAGGAGGAGGAGGGGAGGAGGAGGGGGAGGCAGGAGGAGGGGAGCAGGAGAAGGAGGAGGAGAAGAGGAGGAGGAGGAGGAGGAGGAGGAGGAGGTTAAGGAGGAGGAGGAGGAAGGAGGAGGAGGGAGAAGGAGGAGTTTAGGAGGAGGAGGAGGCGGAGGAGGAGGAGGGGGAGAAGGAGGAGGAGGGGGAGGAGGGGGAGGAGGAGGAGGAGGAAGGGACCAGGAGGCTGCCATGAGCAGCATGTCCGAGGCGGGGTGCGGCGGCGTTGCCGTCACAGGCCAGCCTTCGGTCGGGCGTGTCCTCCTACAGTTTTTTTTTTTTTGCGAAAATCCAGAATCCTCCCCCAGAAAATATTCAAACATCATGATCGATTACTGCTGGGCTTTCTTTGTTTTTTGTGTGTGTGTGACTATTTTTGCATGTTCCTCCTGTAGAGGGACACGCCCGCTCCCGGGACTCAGGAGCGGCCCAGCCAAGGCCGGGGCCGGTGCACAGGGCGCCCCACACCCCGATCTGGTGAACGTTTTCTTATCCGGTGTTTCGGCATTGGGCCGAAAGGGGGAGGGGGAGGGGGGGCGTCTGGCTCCAGACCTCTGCTGAGTGCGACTGCTTGCAGTAGTAAGTCCCACGGGGGAGGCTCATCCTGCTCGAAGCAGGCGCCAAAAAACAGCCAAGATCTATTCCACGGGGTGGGGATGGGTGGGGTGCGACGGACCGCGCCGACCAGCAAAACAATGAATAAGAAAACGATCACCTGCCTCCGCCTCCCCGTTCTCATGGGCCGATCTTCCACCACCACTACCATAGGCATGACGGGGGACAACGGAGGATGGGGAGGTCCTCCTCCTCCTCTTTCTCCTCCTCCTCCTCCTCCTCCTCCTCCTATTTCTTCTCCTCCTCCTCCTCCTCCTCCTCCTCCTCCTCCTCCTACTCCTCTTTCTTCTTCTCCTCCTCCTCCTCCTCCTCCTCCTCCTCCTCCTCCTCCTCCTCCTCCTCCTCCTCCTCCTCCTCCCTCTCCTATCTTTCGTGGTGGCGGTGGGACACCAGCCCATCACGATCCCATGCGCTCGGGGCACCGCCGTCGCACGGGAGCGAGCCACGGGGGGCCTGCAGGCCGAGCCGAGCGCCGAGGCCAGCACCCGCCCGAGCGGCCTGCTCTTCGGCGTCTGCTACAGTCGGGGCGTTGACCCAAGGAGCCCCAAATACAGGGCAATGTTTGATTCATCGGATTTTTTAAACTATAGGAGTTTTAATACATGATTAATGTATGAATAAATTTATGCATGAACTCATCGCTGTTTTTAATACTAAACCCTGCATGTTTAATACATGATCCGCACGCGGAGCATGAATAAAAAACGGCACTGTAAGGAACGCGGCCCCTTGTTTCAATGAGTTGAACTTCGGTTTCCCATCCTAAGGGAATCCTACGGCCAATCTTGTAAAACAGCTGAGGAACACTGAGCCCCTCCCAAACGACGAGGGATCCTTCTTCAGCGCCCCGACTGTGCGGTGGAGACCGGTCCACGAGATATCTTCCACATAAAATTCAACCCCGGGACCCCAGGAATCCAATCGATTCTTGGTGTGGGAACGTCACGCTGTCCATAGCAAAGCCATCGAAACCCCAGAGGCCCAGGGCACCCTGGAGGCGAGCAGGGTGTTTCTTGGCATGGGTATCCACTGCATCCCACAGGAAGGAGTCAAGACAGCACCCATCCCCTCCCAGGGTCGTCGTTCTCGCGGTAGGGCTTCAAGCAAACCTCCATCCCCTTGCGCAACGTGTCGTCGTGCTTCCTGCGCTGAAGCAGGGGGCAAGCCAGGTATCTCCTTCCGTGCACTCCTACCGCATCACGCCCCGTGCAACGCTTCAAGCATGTCAACCGTCGATGCGTTGTCCCCGCTCACTTTCTGGAGAGGGGATCACAGCACCGTGGCCATGCCAGCAGCAGTCCACCCGCGAGCAACGAAGGAATGCAGAGGAGGGAAGAGAGAACCAGTGAAGACGTGTGCGACAGGGAGCCAGCCTCGGAACCAGGACATCGGGCTGAGCCTCGCCCACTCGCGTTCGCCAACGCCCAATGCGACGGGACCGCCCGCCTGGCGCGGAGGCCGCCCACCGGGCTCGGAATCCGGGGACGTGCTCGGAGCGCACGTATGGTTGGCGAAGGAGCTCGTGCAGTGGACATTATTTTTGACGGTCCGCGCGGATTCCCTGGATATGCGCGGGCCCCCTCTTCCTGGCGCGCGGAGCGCGCCAGGAGCGGCGCCAGAGGCGCCGCCAGGGGGGTCCCAGCGCCGATCCGAGAAATCCGATCGGAGCGCCGAAAGTTTGTAGTTACAGTGGGGGCCAGTCCACAAGAAACCTCCCACAAGAAACCCAACCATGAGATCCCGGGACGTCCATGGATTTTTGGTGTGGGCACGCTGCGCCCGCCTTCCACAGCAGAACCATCGAAGCCCAAGAAATCCAGGGCACCCTGGAGGCAAGCAGGGTGTTTCTCGGCATGGGCCTCCATCGGGCCGGGCGAAAGTGGGGGAATAGCAAAGGGAGGGTTCGAGAATCAGCTCACGTAGCTGATTTTCCCGGCGCCTCCCGGCGCCAGAGGCGGCTATGTATCGAGGAATGGGCCCCTCGGTGGGGCCGAAACCAGCTGCATGCAGCAGATGTCGTAACCCCCCCTTTCCCGATCCCCCCCTTTCGTCCTGCCCGATCCTTTCGCCGAGGAAGAGATGGCAGTGCCTTCGATCCTCGAAGGCGAGGCCCTCTCTGGAGCGCCCAGTGTGTATAGGACACGTGCGGGGAGGCTCCGCGCCGTGAGAAGAGCCACAGCATCGGGAGGTCTGGGCTTGGGGGAGGGGGAGGAGGAGGAGGCGGAGGAGGAGGAGGAAAAGGAGGAGGAGGAGGAGGAGGAGGAGGAGGAGGAGGAGACGAGGAGACGAGGAGGAGGAGGCGGAGGAGGAGGAGGAGGAGGAGGAGGAGGTGTTTCTTGGCATGGGCCTCCACAGCACGCCGCTGGTTCTTCTTCGATGGGTCGAGTGTCCTCGGGCCCCCCCAAATTCTCTGCCCCTGGACGCCGCTGACGCAGGGCGAGACGGCAAAGCCGTGCCCAACGCCCGGCCCCCTCCCACGGCGATGGCCCAGGCCAGGAGCGCTCCGACGTGGAGAGCCCAGACACAGAGGAACCTGCAATCACCCCTCCAACTCGTGCCCTCCTCCTCCTCCTCCTCCTCCTCCTCCCGCCCTCCTCCCCTCCTCCTCCTCCGCCCTCCTCCTCCGCCCTCCTCTTCAAATTCCTCCTCCTCCTCCTCCTCCCCCTCCCATTCCCCTTCCTTCCCCTCCTAGGTGGGTCACAGCCTCGGGCGGGAACAACAAGTTCTCGTCTGATGGGCGCCCCCACCTCAATTTTCCTCTCTCTCCCCCTTGACTCTCCCTCTATGGGCGGTGAACCTCCTCCTCCTGCTCCTCCTCCTCCTCCTCCTCCTCCTCCTCCCATTCCTCCTCCTGCTCTCGTGCTAGCTGAATTGCACATGCGCTGTGGAGGGCCCAGGGCCTGGATCTCGCGGCGCTCCCGGCCGCTCTTGCGGGAACTTTTTCTCGGGGTCGGCCGGCCGGCGTGACTTGCTCAGAGGACTCGGGACCGTGGCTGGGATTCCGCACTTCCAGCATCAGAGGGCAGAACATCCACCCCCATAAGACTCACCCCGTCACGCGAAGCCGTTCACAGCAAGCGCACCCACAAAAGGAATCGAGCAAGGCAGGGCTGCTTAGTAAGCGCCCAGGGCTGTTTAGCGAACGCCAGATTCTCGGGTCCGGGGTGGCTTTTCCTCCCCTGAATCGGATATACGTAAGGCTCGGGTACGGGGGACTCGGGTTGGCCTGCTGGGGCCATCGTGAAAAGGACGAGACCCGATCTGAAACTTGACGCGAGCTCCCGCTGCAGACGCCCCACGAAGACTGGACCGCCAGTCCAGGCCGCGCTCGCCAGACAGAGATCGTCCAACCCGAGCTCCGGCTCACTCGAGCCTTACTCCAGATTTCGTAAGAAAGGGAGGGGGATCTCATTTCGGGGGGGGTCTCTTCCAGGCTATCTTGGAGGGCCTGGGGGGTCTGGGGACGATGTTTTGGAGGGTTCTCCCACGGGGGAGGTCTACAGCTTCTCGTCTGGGAGGGTTGAGACCCCCTCCCTTTTCTTACGAAATCTGGAGTACGCTTCCCGATGGAGGCACGGCCCGAGAAGGGCTCCGGGCCCGCCCTGGAGCCCTCTCGGGCGCCTCGCCTGGCGGGCCCCCCCCGGGGGCCCCGGGAGGCGGCCCGCCGCCGACGCCGAGGAGGGCGGCCGCGCCCTCCCCGCGCCGTGGCGCGCGGGCCGCGCCGGGCGGCGGGCGGGCCGGCAGGTCGGCGGAGCCGAGGCGCTCGCGGGCGGAGGCCCCACCGAGGCCCCTCGAGCGCGTGGAGTCGCACGCCCCGAGGCGGGGAGTCTGAAAGGGGCCCCATGACACACAAGTAAATACACACAAACAAAAATACGCCCCACATTTTCCCATACTCTCTGTGTTTCTGTGTTCCCCCCCCCACTTCCCATATTTTCCCACATTTTCCTGGGAATCGAGGATTCATTGTGTCTGTGTTTTGTTTCCCCTCCGGAGAGCCACGCTGCTGCACCTGCTCGCGGGGCACCTCCTTGCCTACTCCGCGGCCGCTGGGCCGTGCAGCGCGGTGCCGGACAGCGCGTCGGAGCCCCACCGAGGCGGCGCGGGGAAAGCGGCAGAGGGAGGGGGGGACGGAGCGCGCGAGGGCACGGAGCTGCGAGGGAGAGCGCGTCTCGGACGGGGCATGCACCTCCCCTGCCCCAGCCCCGTCTGCTCCGAATCATGTCCTCCCACCTGCCTCGTGATCCACCGCTCTTCGCCTCCTCCCCCTCCTCCTCCCATACCCTCCATCTTCCCTCCTTCTCCTCTCCCTCCTCACGCCGTCTTCCTCACTCGCCCCTCTTATGCCTGCTCCCTCCTCCCTCCTCTTCCTCACTCCTCCCTGTTATAGACCCGGAGGCTGGTCTGGAAGATCAGCCCATCGGGGCGGTGCGAGAGTAGAAGAGCAGGACCATGGAAGACGTCCCTCCCCAGGGGATTATCCCAGTGAGCCACTATCTATCCCAACTCTTCCCCCTCCCTGCTGCTGTGCTCTCTGCTGAGCGCCGCGTCCTCCGCCACCTCCTGCGTCTCCCCCCCCCTACTCGTTCGCGTTACCTGAATTGTTGAGCACCCGAAACCGGCTCCCCTCTGCCAGCCCCCACTCCCCGCTCTGCACGACCGCCGCTGCAGCGGCATGGCGAACAG